CTATCTAGCTGAATTCCATGGTCCAGACAAACTTATGGTCCCCACTCCTCCACCATCTTAACGCCTCACCCCCCACTCCCCACTTATATTTGTTTTGATTAGATCCCTGAACATGATGTCTTCCAGTTCTTTCTTTTGGAATGAATTCTTCCATCTTGGCATTTTGCCTAGACCTCTGTTTACTGTGTGTTAGGAAAAGCTGTTATGTTTTCTGCTCTTGAGAGTAATGGCTATATTAAGAAGAGGTCATATACTGTCCAGAGCATGGTGCTTTAGGAAGGTTTTTTTGGTGTATGCTGTGTGCACTCCACTCTTGTGTTTTGACCACTCTTTTCTTCTGATCAGTCCTCTGCAGAGTTTCTTCTTGCTTGCAGTGTGGAGTGTTTGGACCTGGTCCAGTGTGTGGCAACTTTTTTTTTTTTAAGATTTTATTTATTTATTCATGAGAGACAGAGAGAGAGAGAGAGAGAAGCAGGCTCCCAAGGAGCAGGGAGCCCGATGTGGGACTCGATCCCAGGACCCTGGGATCATGACCCGAGCTGAAGGCAGACGCCCAACTGTCTGAGCCACCCAGGTGCCCCAGTGTGTGTCAACTTTTAACTAGGTGTGTTTCAGTGTGCTTGTTAGAAAAGGCTAGGTCTTATTTCCCCTAGAACTGAAGCTTTGCAGCACTCTATGATCAGTAGACTTGGCACATGCAGGGGTGTTGGGCTGGTCTTCCGGGGTGGGGGCTTGCTGCGCTGGTTCTCAGGCTACTTGTCCTTGTATAGATGTATCTGCAGTGTACAGTAGGGTGGGGCTTGGTGTAAGTTGTTCCAGCCTCCACTGGGAGCACTGTGTTGCTCACTGAAGTCTGTCCCTTCTTGTGGGCAGGGGGAAAATGGTGTCACTCCACTCTCTCAACCCCAGAAAGGGGAGTTTGCACCTGTTGCTGTTTAGGAAGCCCTCACAGAAGAGTGAACAATCTCCCCTCTTCTGTCCCCTCTTGTGCCTTCACTCTGTCTGTGTCTGAACCATCTGTCTACCTGGCGGCACTGTACTCCTGTGTCTATCTCTGGCATGCGACTGAGTTTCAAAGCTCCAAATTTTGGGGATCTGGCATAGACCAGACCTGCACTGATCCTCTGGGGGAGGGTCTCACTATGCTGTGGCTGCTGCTGCTTTGTCCTAGAAACACAGTCACACGACCATGTGGGGCTAGGAGTTCACAGTAAAGAACAGCCAAAAACTGGCTTCCAGGTTAGTTGCCTTCAACAGTTGCCTCTGCTGCTATGCTAATTAATGGGACCGCCAATAGCTCCCGCCTTCTCTTTTGTCCCCTGAGAGGCAGTACCACCTCTCCCAAATGCACTCTAAGAAGGGGAACTGTTTCTCCACATGCAACCCAGGAGATCCTCAGCCCACACTATCTGCTCTTGGGCCTCTGCCCTCCTTCCCCACAGGAGCACTGCTAAGCCCACCAGGCACAACACTGTTGATGGTACGGACTTCTAAAACTTCAGACTTTGAGCTTCCCTGCTTATAAAAACTTGTGATGGTCAGCCCTACTCCTTTTCCCAACCAATGGTTTTGGGGAAGAGTTTTTGTTGTTGTTGTTCAGTCCCCTGAACGCTGTTTTCATTCTTTCATTCTCTCTCTTTCTATCTCACTCCTCTCTCCCTGATCAGGGGTACCTCACCTCTGCAGCACCCACAATTCTTTCCCCCCCAAATCAACTCTCTGCACTACCTTCCATGGTGTGGCCATTTTTCTGTCTCTAGATGTGCAGTTTGTTCTCTCAGTCCTCAGATCACTTTCTTGGGTGTTCAGAATGATTTGACATTTATATGGCTGTGTTTGAGGGACAAAGCAAGCATAGGGTCCCCCTTACTACTCAGCCATCTGGAAACTATGTAGTTGTCTTTTAAATCAGATAGAAGAAAAAGAGTTACTAACAAAAAACATTTATACCCTCTTTATATTTACTTATGTAGTTATCTTCACTGATGCTTTATTTCTTCATGTTGATTCAAGTTACTACCTAATGTCCTTTTATTTGAGTTTGAGGAATTCTCTTTAGGATTCCTCATAGGACAAATTGGCTGGTGACAAACTCTCCCAGTTATTGTTTATCTTGGAATGCTTCAATTTCTCCTTTGTTTTTGAAGGACAGTTTTGCTAAATATAGAATTCTTGATTGATGGGATGTTTGTTTTAGAACTTTGAATGTCATCTCAGTGTGTCAAAACTTCCATTGTTTCCAATAAGAAATCAGCCATAAATCTTTTTTTTCTTTAAAGATTTTATTTAAGTTCAAGTTAGCTCACATATAGTGTAATATTAGTTTCAGGGGTAGAGTTTAGTGACTCATCATTTGCATATAACACCCAGTGTTCATTACATCAAGTGCCCTCCCTAATACCCAATTACCCCATCCTCCTCCACCTCCCTTCCAGCAACCCTCAGTTTGTTCCTTATAGTTAAGAGTCTCTCATGGTTTGTCTCACTCACTATCTTTATCTTATTTTGTTTTTCCTCCCCTTCCCCTATGTTCATCTGTTTTGTTTCTTAAATTCCACATATGAGTGAAATCATATGGTATTTGTCTTTCTCTGACTGACTACTTTTGCTTAGTAGTCCATCCACTTTTGCTAGTTCCATCCACATCATCACAAATGGCAAAATTTGATTCTTTTTGATGACTAATATATATATATATATATATATATATATTACATCTTATTTATCCATTCATCAGTTGATGAACATTTGGGCTCTTTCCATGTTTTAGCTATTGTAGATAGTGCTGCTGTAAACATTGGGGTCCATGTGCCTCTTCAAATCACTATTTTCTTTATCCCTTAGACTACTGCTTAGTTGTGCAAATACTGGGTCATAAAGTAGTTCTATTTTTAACTTTTTGAGGAACCTCTTTCCTGTTTTACATAGTGAGAAATCAGTCATAAATCTTATTGAGAATCTCTTACACATGATGATATGCTTCTCTCTTGCTGCTTTCAATATTGTTTCATGGCTTTGGCTTTTAATTATGTATCTAGGTGTAGATTTTGTTTTTAATTTTCCTACTTAGAGTTCATTGAGCTTCTCATATTTGCAGAATAATGCTTTTCATCAAATTGGGATTTTTTTGACATTATTTAAAAATAATATTCTGTCTTTTTCCATCCTGTATTTCTAGGACTTTTATTATGTGTACATTGGTACACTTGATGGTGTCCCACAAGTCTCTGAGGTACTGTTCATTTTTCCTCATTTTCTTTTTTATTTTTGTGGCTAATGTCAATTGTCATCTTTTCAAGTTTATGGATTCTTTCTTTTGCCATTTTAATCAGCTCTAGTAAATTTTTCTCCCCCTCGTGTTTTTTTTTTTTTTCTTTTTGGTGATTTTACTTTTCAACTCCAGTATTTCTAGATGGTTCTTCTCTTATAATGTATGTCTCTTTATTAATATTCTCTATATGGTTTGAATCAGTTTCATTTTTTCAGTTCTTTAGGCATGGTTTCCTTTAGTTTTTTATAACATATTTAAAATAATTTAGTCAAAATCTTTGTTTAGCAAGTCTAATACCTGTGCTTCCTCAGAAACAGTTTCCGTTTATTGATTTTTTTACCTGTTTATGAGCTTTCTAGTTTTTTTTTGAATATCTCATATTTTTTGTTGAAAACAAGTTTTTAAATAATATAATGTGACAATTATGGAAGTCTGATTCTCACTTTCTCCAGGGCCTCTTGTTGACATTGCTTGTTGTGCTATTTGCTGTTTATTTGTTTATTGACTTTTCTGAATTAATCCAGTATAGTTTTTGGTATTCTTTGTCATAGATTGCCAGTGAAGTCTCTACTATATTAGCTTAGTGGTCAGCTAATGATTGAATAGAGATTTCCTTAAATACCTAAAACTAATAAATCTTTTTTAAAGGTCTCTGTTGCCTGTTGAAATATGTCTTTAGCACTCACCCAGGCAGCTTATAATTGTGTCATAACCTTTACTCCTTGCTTACATGGAGTCTCAAGGCTAGCCAGAGATAAAACCTTATAACCTTCTCATGTCTTTCCTGAACATGCACACAGCACTATGCTTGGCAGTGACCTTCTAGAGTCTTAGGAATGTGTCAGAGATTTTCAAAACTCCTATTGACATTTCATTCTTCAGTTTTTCTTTTTAAGTTTTTTGGTCAGTCTCTTGTTTCCCTCAACTCTTATCCATTGTCTCAGGCAGCTGTGTGACACATATACCCCTCTCCCAAGGGAGAGTTGTAGCACTGGATAACTAATAAAGACAAGCCTTTTGAGTCAGGAAACCACTGCACAGGTCAATAATGACAGTTATTTGGGAATTGATCTGTTCTGCTCACTCAAAGCTACTATTGGCCTGGGGAGGAGTAAGAGGGTTATGGAAAGTTCAAATGGCACCAAATTGCTGTTATTAACAACAGTGAAGTGTTTTTGTTTTGTTTTGTTTTGTTTCTAAAAATTTTCCCTGGATTGATGCAAACCTTTGGTTATTTTTTTTTTAATTTTGGAAAAAAATGTTGATTTTGAAAAATTTTGTCAGTTATTGTATTGCTTCTGTGAAGAAACAAATATCCAGAGGTCATAACTCTACTATTCCCATTGACATCACCCACAGCCAACTTCTTTGTAATATTTTCTAAGTCCCTCTCAAGAAAATTAGTAGCTAAATTTCAGAAGATAGTAAAAACAAAATGTCTTTCCAATTCATGTTGAAAGACCCTCTAGACTCTAGTTACACATTCCTTGGGGGTCTATGAACCCTGGTTTAAGAATCCTACCTTGAAATGATGTGAACGATGAACAGGTAACACCCAACTTTCCAGCATCATAAGAAAAGTGCTGAGAGAGGTCCAGGTATAGACCTGACTGGCCTTTACTTCCTTCCTCTTAGTTAGCTTTCTTACTCATTTACTAATTTCTCCAGGGCATTCAACTGTTCACTCAAGGGTGCCAGGGCCCTTGACTGGGCTCTCTTTTCCTTGCAGATTCCTCAAAGCCACTCAAGGCTAAGACTGAAGCACCTACAACCATGAAATCTCCTTTGGAAGGTGAGTTTCAGTATGGTTTGGGTGCAATAGAGTCCTGAAATGATGCCACGGAATCCAAAGGAGGAGACTCCATGCCATTATATGGGTAACAAGAGGTCACTGGGTTCCTCAGAGAAAACATGACAATAACAGAATGGAAATAAAAGAAAGGTAGCAATGATTAAAAAGTTGTGAAAAAGTGGAATCATAAATATGTATACCCTTCTTCGTGAGAACTTCTGAGGCAAAAGTAAGAGAGAGTTGGAATACTCATGTGAGAAAAGAGAAAGCTCTGACTTCTGTTTTGCTCCTAATTTGACTTTCTGTGGGATTTTGGATACGTTGCACCACCCCCTCCATGGGCCTCTTCCCACCACTAACAATAAGAAACTAAGATACCTCATCTCATGGTACTAATGATCAATACATGGCAAGGAATTCTAGAAAGCTCAGCATTGATGCCTGATGAAGGTACCCAAACTTTGCAGTCACACTCTACCTCATAGTTTTTGGCTGGAAAAGAGGCCTCTGAGCCTAGTACTTTGTTCTCATAGCAACTTCTACAGTGAACCTGATTTGGAACTGGACCACTGAAGTGGATGGCTACCTTGGGAAGACCAGTGCTGAGCCAGGTAAGGAAATTCAGGATGTCTATCCTTCCTTCTTGGCTTTGAACTTTGCAACTGAAACTTTCCACAATACACACTGTTATGTGGAATTTAATTCTTCAAAACTTTGCCACACAAAGCTCAAAGGCCCTGGAGATGAGCAGAGTTGGTGGTATGGAGAGGGAGAGATACAAATTCAGTAATGAGCAAAGTCAAAGTGGGGTTAAGTGGTAGATGTGTTCTTAGCTGGTTCTTTGTTGTCATAATAATACACCTTCCAAATACTCTAAGCAAGAATAGGAATGGGACCATGACCTCAGCCAACTCTCTTAGGGAGATGGGCATTGGACTACATAAGGGTAATTTCAGGGCTTCATTACTTAAGCTCTTAACCAGGGCTCACCAAGCAGCTTGCAGCTGATTTTTGATTTCTCCAAAGTTTCAAGGATCCCTAAGTCATGATCTCAAAGTTCCAAACCCCAAAGAGAAGCTTTTTTGTGTTTCACCTGGAGCTTGTAGTCAGCTTGTATGCACTGATATGACTGCACTGATGGTTAAAATAGTGAAAAAAAATGTTATATAGTTGATAATTAGATGCTTTCCTTAGTCTGAACAACCTATCATCACCTGAGCTGGTCTGCCTTATCCCTTAGAGCTCTCCAGACAACACATGGTCCTGCAACAAAAGTGTCAATGCCTAGTATAGCAGGGGGCTTCTGAGACTCCAGGTTTACAGTAAGCATTTGTTTCAGTTAGTTGATGCTAAATAGTGATGACTATTACGACTGGTTTCATCCTCTAATTGTGTATCATTAATGGTGGATTTCTTAACTATTTTATTTTATTTTTTTTTTAATTTTGGGGGGAGAGATAGGACCTTTATTTATTTATTTATTATTTATTTATTTATTTTATTATGTTCAATAATTGTGGATTTCTTAATGCCCATGTACTTCTCCCCTGCTGGTTGCACAGCTTTTTGTCTATCTTTAGGTATAGTTCAAACCTGTTTTGTGGGCTACTTTTGCATTGCCACCTTTGACTTAAAGGCTTCCATAATTCCATGCCTCTTGCAGAGCAACATCCAATGAGACAAGGGAGATTAGGAGATAATTTTTGGAGAGTTGGCTTGAGAAAATGAGAAGATAACCCAAGGGAAATGGAAATTCTCAGATATTTTGTGTGTGCCCAACATCCTCCATCCGTTTTTGTTTTGTTTTGTTTTGTTCACTACTTGGCTCCCTCTAAGGGGGATCCTTCCTTTAATCTCCATCAGTTTATAGCTTGGGTTCTCTCATTCCATCCAAAGCAGCAGAATACACATTCTTTCCCAAGTGCACATGGTTCACTCTCCAGAATAGATTACAACCTAGGTCAGAAATAAGGCTTCAGCATGTACAAAAAGATTGAGATCATACCAGGCATATTTTCTGACCACAACACTATGAAACTTGAAGTCAACCACACAAAAAAAAAATTGGAAAAAACACAAATACATGGATGTGAAACAACATGCTACTAAACAATGAATAGGTCGATCAGGAAATCAAAGAAGAAATATAGTTTGGGTACTCTCAGCTCCAACCATAGTTCTGAGGTCCACAAATATCAGATTTTTAAAATTTATTTTTTTTAATTCAAGTGTAATTAACACACAGTGCTATATTAGTTTCAGGTATATAATGTAATGATTCAACAATTCTATACATTGCTCAGCACTCATGATAAGTGTACTCTTTTTTTTAAGATTTTATTTATTTATTTGAGAGACAGAGAGAGAGTGAGAGAGAGCATGAAAGGAGAGAGGGTCAGAGGGAGAAGCAGACTCCCCTCTGAGCAGGGAGCCTGATGTGGGACTCGATCCTGGGACTCCGGGATCATGACCCGAGTCGAAGGCAGCCGCTTAACCAACTGAGCCACACACGTGCCCTATAAGTGTACTCTTAATCCCCTTCACCTATTTCACCCATCCCCCCACCCACCTCCCTGATGGCAATCACCAGTTCTCTATATTTAAGAGTCCGTTTTTGTTGTTGTTGTTGTTGTTTTCTTGTTTTCTTTGTTCATTTGCTTTGTTTCTTAAATTTCACATATGAGTAAGGTCATATGGTATTTGTCTTTCTCTGACTTCTTTCACTTAGCATGATACCTTCTAGATTCATCCATGTTTTTGCAAATGACAAAAAATTGCATTATTTTTTTATGACTGAGTAATATTCCAGATTTCTAAGACAAAGTATTTTGGGGTCTGGTAAAAATAAAACCAGTTGCAGCAACAAATCCTAAGGGCAATGGGATTCCTACCCCTCTATCCCTTGATCTCACCCCCTAGATTCAGAATACTGTAGCTCTAAGTGCATTAGACATTATACAATCTTTTCATTGAACTTATGGGAACACTAAATCTTACTCAATAGTTTGAGTAGTCACTATTTATTTTTCTCTGAGGGCTATAAAATTTAGTGCCTCAAATTTAGTGCCTTAAAATAACACAAATGTATTATCATACACTCCTGGAGATCAGACATCTGACACACTGAGCTAAGATCAAGGTATTAGCAGAGCTATGTTTTTCTGGAGGCTCTGAGGAAGAATCAGGTTCTTTGTTTTTTTTCCAGCTTCTAGAAGCTACTCATGTTCTTGGCTCTTGGCCCCCTTCCATCATTTTCAAAACTAGCAATGTAGCATCCTCAAGTCTCTCTCTAACTCTGATCTCCTTTGTTTCCCTCTTCCACTTTTAAATGACCCTTTTGATTACATTGAGCCTGCCCAGGTAATCAAGATAATCTCCCCTTCTCATGATCAGTTAATTAGCAAACTTAAATATATCTGCAACCTTAATTCCTCCTTATAATTTAAGCTAAAAAACTCATAGATCCCGGGGATTTGGATGTGAACATCTTGGATAACCATTATTCTGCCTACGACAGTCATACAAGTAAATAACAGATCCAGGACTAGAAGCCCAGTCCGGTGGTTTCCTTGAGTTTGTAGGCACAATTGGGATAGCTAACTCAGGAGACTCAGTGGACATATTTTTTGAAGAAAAAGAAACCTGAGCACTTGCCCAGAGAGTGTGAAGAAAAGAATTATTTTCTTATTTTTTTTTAATTTAATTTCAATTTTGTTAACATATAGTGTATTATTAGTTTCAGGGGTAGGATTTAGTGATTTAATAGTTGCATATAATGCTCAGTGCTCATTACAGAATGTGTCCTCCTTAATGCCCATCACCCAATTACATCATCCCTCCACGCACCTCCCCTCCAGCAACCTTCAGTTTGTTTCCTAGAGTTAAGAGTCTCTTATGGTTTGCCTCCTTCTCTGTTTTTATCTTATTTTATTTTTCCTTATCTTCCCCCATGCTCACCTTTTTTTAAAGATTTTATTTATTTATTTGTCAGAGAGAGAGAGAGCACAAGCAGGGGGAGTGGCAGGCAGAGCAGCCAGAACAGGCAGAGGGAGAAGTGGGCTCTCTGCTGAGCAAGGAGCCTGATGTGGGACTCAATCCTGGGATCCTGGGATCATGACCTGTGCCAAAGGCAGACACTTAACCAACTGAGTCACCCAGGTGTCCTTATGCTCATCTTTTTTGTTTGTTAAATTACACATGTGAATGAAATCATATGGTATTTGTCTTTCTCTGACTGACTTATTTTGCTTAGCATAATACCTTCTAGTTCCACCCACATCATTGCAGATGGCAAGATTTCATTCTTTTTGATGGCTGGGTAATATTCCATTGTATATATACATGTACCATATCTTCTTTATCCATTCATCTGTCAATGGATGTCTGAGCTCTTTCCACATTTTGGCTATTGTGGACATTGCTGCTATAAACATTAGGGTGCATGTGCCCCTTCAAATCACTATGTTTGTAACCTTTGGATAAATACCTAGAAGTTATTTATAGTTATAGGGTAGTTCTATCTTTAACTTTTTGAGGAACATCAATGATATTTTCCAGAGTGGTTGCACCAGTTTGCATTCCCACAGTGTAAGATGGTTCCCCAAGGGAAAGAAAAAAAAATGTTTTGGCTAGAAGTAATTGACCAGAATATCAATAAGGTAGCATTTTTGTGAAGAGGGAAGTCAAGGTACTATTTTCTCTTAAGAGTAGGTGAAAAAAAAAAAGTAGGTGAAAATCTCTACTCTTGGCCCCATGGAAAACATGGGGTACTAATTCAAATGCCCAGGCCAATCAGCCATCAATTAGTGGGTTTGGAAGAATGTGTTTATACATGGAGTCTCTAGCCTCTTTCCAGTCTTTTTCATAGGTTTGGGGTCTTGTTTGTCTCTCTGGATAGCTAATAAAGCCAGGAGAAAATTAAAAATGGAAAAAAAAAGTTATGGGCTAGTCTGGGCTGATCCTTGGAATCTCTGTTTCTGAAATCATTTTCAACCATATACCTCTTTGTCTTGTTTCACCTCCTAGGAAAGGGCCTGCCTGTCTTTTCCATTGTTCTCATCATTTCCCTGTGCTGTATGGTGGTCTTCATCATGGCTTATGTTATGCTCTGCCGGAAGACATCCCAACAAGGTGAGTGATGAGTATGACTGAGTGACTTTGCCCATTAATTCATTCTGAGAGTATAGTTAAGCATAAATTCTGTGCCAGCCACTGTGCTATGCACTTCAAAGTGCTCTTAGCGTAGTTTGGGATTGAGGGTAGGGATGCATGGAGGCAGACATGCAAGCCAACAATGACAATATGATTTATTGAAGTTAATTCACAAATCTTTAGTACCAAGCTTAGTACAAGCCATCTCTGTAATGGATTGTCTAACGAGGATGTAAGAGAAAGAGAAGTCACAATCTTTGGCCTCAAGTTGCTTAGAATTTATTTAGAAAATTCAAAGTAGAAACATGGAATTTATCAATATCCATACATAGCAATATAGGTTATAGACTCAAAGCCTGGAGAGAACAATCAATGCTAAATGTTTTCAGAGAAGAGAATCAGTTAGCGCTGAAGTGATTAACAAGGGCTTTTAGAAGGAGATGGGACTTAGACCAGGCCTTGGAGGATGAAAACAAATTAGAAGGCAGCATTCCAGAAAGGAGGAACTATAAGAGTAAAGGTGCAAATGTTTAAAAGATGATTGTGAGTGGGGTCAATGTAGAAAATACAGGGGTAAATGCAGGGGGAAAGAAAAGTTTACTCCTGATTATGGAGTGTCTTAAATAACAGCCTAAGGAACTTGGAAATTTTTCTCTAGGCCTTGCAAAGGAACTCAAAGTCAACAATGTTTTTTTTAAGCAAAGGAGTGACATTATGAAGGTGCAGTTGTCAGGACCATTTAACAACTGTGAGCCAACAGAGGAAGAAAAAGAGAGTTTGGATGTTGAATTCTAAGTAAAACCTAGCTACACCTCAATACCTGCTGCACTGGCCATTTTGCCTAACATTAGTGTCTTTTTCTCTGTAGCAGCTCCTATTCCCAAGTAGCCTGGTTTCCACCATGACTTTCTCCAGCCGAAGGGGAGAAAGGAGCCTTGAGTATTTCCTTCTCCTGGGTCTTAAGTATAAGTTCTAGTCTTGGCCAGTTAACATAGCTATGACTCATGAGGCTGAACTTGAAAGTAGAGATATCTCAAGTAGCCACAAATCCCAGGAATACTAAAGGAAAAATATTCATCATGTCTCAATGAGACTAGGTATAAACTGTAACCATATTTGATTGTTTCCCTCTCAAAAACCTTCCAAGGCTTCTCATGGCCCAGGGGATAAAAGTCAAAATGTTGCATTCCATTTAAGGTCCTCTCTGATGCAGCCTATCTTCTTGACCCCCACCACTCCTTATTTTCATTTCCAGTCACTGGAGTCAAACAGGCCAATAAGCCATACACCTCATGGTCTTATGTTTTTTTTTTTTTCCCATCTAGATTGCCTTCCCAAAATTTCTATTATTTACCTCTCTATAAGAGAGAGATAGCCTTGGGCCATCAGTTCAATTTAACATGTAGTTACTGATTGCCTACTATGTGCCAGGCAGTGGACATATAATAATGAAAAAGACAATACCTGTGTTATGGGAACTACCAGGCCAATGGGGGAGGTAAGACATGGAAACACAATGGCTGTATCACAAAGTAAAGGGTGTATGGCATGCTCTGTTTGCTTTTTTGTGGTTTAATGCATGCATTCCCAGTTGTATTCCTGTAAGATTATAAACCCCTAGAGGGCAGTACCAAGAGACATCTATCTTTGTACCAGGATTTATAGAGCTTTTAAGCCTGCACAGAATGTAGATAGTTCTCCTCCACAGACACTAGGGGGCAATGGTGTTCTATTTAAAGACCTATCTTGGGTGCACCGCGGAGGTGAATGCATTTTGGCTTTGGTCATGGTCCCTGACAGATTAATTCAGCCCCTTCTGTCTGGGCTCTGGCCTGGCCACCAAGTTTCCACAAAAACTCCCTGGAATCTTTGGCAAGATTCCTGGGTGGGGAGTGGGTCCAGTTCCAATGTCCTTCCCCCACCACACCAAGCAACTGTTCCAGCCCAATGTCCTGAGTCAGAGTATGCCAAAGAGGATAGTAACCAAGTGTGCTTCCTCTTCCTTTCTCTGAGAAATCTGTATCCCTGTGCTTCAGTGTACCTTCCCAATACCTCCCAGTCCTCCCTTCTCTCTCCCCTTCCCTTACCCTTTGACTGGTAACCAGTGTCCACTTTTAGCCCTTGTCCACTCCCCATGGTGACTTCTGACTTGAGTCCTCCTTCTTTTCTAGAGCATGTCTACGAAGTGGCCAGGTAAGACTGCCTCTTCTCTTCCATCTTCTGAACCCTTCCCTGCCCTCATTCTGTTAGTCACTGGCATGGAGGAAAAGGAGGTTGGCACAAACCCAATTCTAAGCCCAGAGGCCTTCAGGGTCAGGACACTGCTTTCTTCCCTCTCTGAAGCACCTCCTGAGGTTCTTTCTTGGCTCACTGATCACACAGGATAATCCAGGTCCATCAACCTCCTGTTCCCAGAATCCCTTGATAAAACAAGAACCTAAGGGTCAGTTGGCAAGAATTGGGACAGAAGTGTGGGAAACTAGAATCCCAGCCTCAATTCCCTCTTTACGGGTGGTGGGATCTTGGGCCACAGGGCACATTCCAGGGAGGCCAGCAATTCTGGTGAAACCTGGAGAGTGGCCATTTTCACAAGTGGCTGCTCCAGCAAAGAGCCATTTTCCCAGACTCCAGGCAATGACTACTCCGAGGATCCCTGGCTGGGCTAGGAGTACAAGATCATCGCCCAGATCAACAATGACTATGCTCACCTGCTGCATACAGTTCCCCCAGATTATGAGCTTTTGGCCACCAAGGACAAGGACGTCTGCTAAAAATGCCCTGCTAAGCCAGGGCCTGCTGATATAATTGCCTATTAAGCCCCTGCTTTCTGCATAGCCACCTTCCCTGTTACCTCTCTTCCTGGATGACCCAACATGTCTTCCCTGCCCAACACTGAGGTTCCTAAGAGTGACTGGCTTTGCCTAAGAAGTTACCATATGCACTGCTACTCGGTCAGGTCTTAGACCCTTCTGTTTTCCCTTCTTCTACTGCTTCTCTTTGAACACCAGAGGGAAGTTCCCATAGCATTAAGACTTGGTCATCATGCTTCCAGATACCACGCAACTTTGGCCTCTTGCCACCAGAAGACCAGAGGGAAACTCAGCTTTGCCAGCTGAGGGGACCAGTTGTTTCCAGGATCACTTCCTTTTTTTTTAGGGCCAGATAGCTTTTAAATAAGATTTGTAAGTAACAGGTCAGAATTCAGTTTTGCTCCTGAACTGTGAGTCTAGTGCTCTGCTATTCTTTTGATGCTCAATAAATATCTAATCATGATAGCAACCTTGGTTGTATTGGTCTTCTCTCAAGTACCTACCAAGTGAATAAAGTGAGACTAGTTGAGATGTTTGGGGACTTGGAATTATAAATAGCACCTTTTCTTTTTTGGTCTTTTTCTTTCCTACCCATGCCATCTTTACCTTACTTCAGAGGTGGACCCATCTGGGACACAATGAATGTTTGGCAAGTTAGTACCCAACTGCCTTCCATCCCTTTCTCTGTAACCCTGCCAACTCCACCTGGATGACTCTCTTAAGTCAATTGGAAACCTGAAAATGAAGGATCCTTTCTTCTATTTCAGGGGACTGTGGATGCAGAGATAAAGGGCTCCTTTCTTTCTAAAGTATGGATATATCACCCTCAAAGATTTCTACCTCCTAGAATCCTAAAATCTCTGCAGTAGTTGTATTCATCACAAGTCATCTCTATCCCCTGGCCTCTTCTTACAATGTAGAGTGAGGGTCAAAGCAAGGAAGTCTTTTTCATCAAGCATAAATGGGAAATAAGAGTGTAGGTGTGTGTGTGTGTGTGTGTGTGTGTGTTTGTGTTTGTCCATTTGTGTGTGTGCACACATGCATACAACTTTATTTCAGTCTCCTCTGTGAGGACCTGTTCTAGGCTGGCTCAACACTACTTCCTTTCCCTCATATAATTCATGTCAAATCAACCTCTTTGCTCTTCATGCAACCTGTTTTTGCCGCTTTTCATTCCAGTGCAGTCCCAAGGTCAGCTCAGGTTTCACCAAGAGCTTCTCTTTGGATGATTACATAAGTCAAAATAGTACAAAGAAATGAACAAGAAGGAATCCTCTGCTTCACCACCATCAACCCACCAAGTCCATGGTCAAAACCTCAGTGTTTTCCCCAATAAGCCAGATTCACATAGCTGGTGAAAGGAGCAACGTATTCTTCCCCACCATGCTTACAAGCCTCTGAAACAGGGACCCACCCAGGAGAAACCTCAGCTTCTTTCATGAAACAGCTGTGTCCAGACCCCACAGCCTCAGGAAAAAATAAATTATCTCTTCCTACTACCTTTGGAGAAAGGAATGACTAGGCTTAAGAAGAGAATCCTAACCATATGTCCATTAATAAAAGGAGCCCCAAACCCAGGGACACTTCCCTGTTACCCCCATAGGAGCTATGGACTCCTGGGGATATTTCAGAGTCTCTTGTCTTAAAAAGCTTAGAGATCATTGATTTTAATTCTCCCTTATTACAGATGAGGAAATAAAGCCTAGAGAGGAACAGTAACAGTCTAAAGTCACACACATTAAGTCAATGACAGAACAGACACCAGAAAACAGGTCTGTGAACTCCTAGGAGCATATTCACTGCAGTAGAAAGCTTATGGATATCATCTTTGCCCAAAAACTAATACTTTTTTTCCATACAAGACAAGCCAGTAAGAGAGTCCTGGGTATAGGGCTAGCCCAAACCTGCAGGGTAAGCTAAATAAACATGGGATGATAATATATAATTGTTTTAGGCAGATGGCTAGTCAGGGAAAGCTGGAAAACTGAAAAAAGGAGATTCCCAAAAAAGAGAGAAGATATGAAGTCCCTCTAGGACAGTTTTCCAAGTTTTATCCAAGAGATGACCTACAGAAAAAAAAATTCCACGATTAGATAGACATGAGAAATGTTTCATTCTATAGCTCTCTATTGGAGATTTCCAGTGCAACATTAGAATATTAAAGGCTCTGAAAATCCTGAAATAAAACATCTGTATAACTTTGAGTTACCACATAATTTCAAAACCTATTTGTCCTCTGAGCCTACTTTTTTTTGCCTTTCTCCTCCACCCCTGACACTATTTCTCAGGAGGAAAACCCCTCACATACCCTATAGCATTATCATGACCACAGTTTAATTTTTTTCACAAAATTCCTGGATGGCATTTTGATCCAAAACCAAGGATAATGGTCTAGTACAAAGTCAATCAACCAGTAAACATTTATTATTTTCTGTAACCAGAGTACTGAGCTGCATGCTGGGGTAGGGATGGAAAGGGGAGACAGCAATCAAGGAAACATAGTGCTGTCCTCACAATTTACTGGGGAATTCAAAAACATCCCCTGGAAAAGTTTACTAACAGTTTAAGAGGTGCTATTAGGCAATAGGAGAAGAAAGGGGTACATATAAGGACCAAAGCAAGGAGTGTTCGAATGAAGAAGAAAAAAAGTGTAGGCTAACTTTCACAAGTCTTTGGAGAGACTAGATTTTGGCTGGACCAGAAGTATGAGAAATAATTGAATAGGCAGAAAAAAAATGGAGGAAGTATAACCAGAAGGAAAAAAAGACATGAGGAAGAGGAAAAAATAAATAAGGTCAAAATGCATTTAGAAGTCAAGGCTGAATATCAGGAAAGTGGGTTTCTAAGCCCTGTCATGAAGCTTGTGTGAAAGTTCTAGTGTCCTTACTGGGAGACTCTGTAGAGGAATGTGAAGAAAGGAAATATGAATCAAAGAGCACGTCCATCCCTGGGCCCTATATACCTTTCTAAGACCATTATGCCCCCCTCAGGCTCTGACAATATAAAAACAGTACAGGGCTGTAGCTTCAAGAGTTGCCTCACTTTTCCCCTGGCAACCTCAGATACAATGCTTCAGTTCCCTCAGAGTCACTGGAAATAACTTGTGACAGATTAGTTCATGTTTGGCAAGTGATCTTGTATCCAGTTGGCAATTTATTTGTTGTATCCCAACTGCCCTGGCCTGGAGCTGTTAGGCATGTGCCGCACTTGGGGTATTTGACAAACTGACACTCTACCACACGGAGTGTCCAACTCAGCTTGTCAAATACACGGAGCGTGGCACTGCAGGAGGCCAGGCCAGGGGCTTCAGTGGGGAGGCAAGATCTTCCTGGGAGATGTGGCCCTGGAGGGAAAGAAAGAAAAATGAGTCACACCCTGAACTCCAGAGAAACTGCTGAGGATAAGGACTAGCTGAAACATCAGAATAGGGAAGTGAGCAAAATAGGCATAAGGCTCCCAACCAGAAGATGGATCCTAAGGGAAGGCCCAGTTGAGATCACAAATGAGGCCCCAGTGCTCAAGTTGGGGTCCTCAGGCTTGAGTACTATAGCTATGGCATTTCTTGGGGTTCCAAGCTTCAGTGGACTCCTATATGCAGTAGGGAGAGAATTTGGTCATTGTCCTGCCGCTCTGACCTCAGGAAAGGACTAGGCCCCAGAGTCAGTGTCCATGCCCTCCCTTCCCTACTCTCCCACAGTCTTGTGGTTATGAACATAGACTTTGAGGTTAAACATAGGCTTGAATTTTGGCTCTGTCACTAAGTAGCTAAGAAACTTCAGATAAATTATTCATCTCTCTGAGTTTGTTTTCCACATCCACAAAATGGGTATGAGTACCTACCTAATAAGTTATTGTGAAAATGGCATGAGGTAATGTATATAAAGCTTTTAGTTCAGTATTTGATGCATAAAAAATGTTCAAAAATGGTGGTTGTGCTACCAGAAGGAAAGCAAGGGCCATTGACAATTGATTTAACAGGGTCAAGACAGATGAAACAGGAATGCTTTATGGCCTCAGCCTTTCCTAACATGGTCTCCCTTGTCCCATCAGGACTCAAGAATGGCAGCTATAAAATGACCATCATTTAGTCTTACCCACTCATATTATAAATGAGGAAACAAAGGTTCATATTGAGGAAGAGAGTTGCTAAAAGTTATACAAGCTGTACAGTTTGGGCTGTGCCTTATCACCCCATTGTGCCTTTCAGTTTTCCTCATTGGTTCTTTTACCTCCCTGTTATGTATATCTCTCTGGGAAAAGGGAGATACATCCACAAGGATGGCAAAAGACAAGCAGTAGACTTGGCAGTTAGGCACTGGGATCTTTCCACCCACAGCCATTAGGGAAATGAGGAAGCTGCCAGCAGATGGTCAGGTCTGGAAC